ATCATTGAAGCGCATCCATTTTTGTCACAAAAACAATCATGTATTTTGGTTCTTTAATAGATTTTTAGAGGTCAACTTGAAATATGGCAACATTTTCTGGGTGAGAATTATACATACAGTACTGCTCATATTTGGTTCATGTATGTTGTTCTTTTTCAGCTGAATTAGGTGCTTTTGATGGCCATTCACAAGTTTCTGGTTGTATCTCTGATCACTCCACTTCACAGAATTGATGCAGATAATATAAATTTGTTGGTTTTCTGACAGACTTGTTTCTTCCACAAAGTCCACAGGTTCTCAATGGCGTTTGGGTCTGGACTTTGGGGAGGCCAGTCTAAAACCTTAATTCTACCGTGATGCAATGACTTCTTTGCCACTTCTAGTGTGTGTTTGCTTTCAAGACCCAACCTTGTGGCTGATGATTTTAGGCTTTCCTGAAGAATTTGGAAGTAATCCTTCTTCATTATTCCAGTCACTTCACGTAAAGCACCAATTCCACTGGTAGTAAAACAGCCGCAGAGCATGATGCTGCCACCACCATGCTTGATGGTAGGTTTGGTGTTCTTGGGGTCAAAGGTCTCACTTTCTCTCCTCCAAAACATATTTCTGGTTATTGTGGCCAAATAGCTAGATTTTTGTTTCACCTGACTACAGAACCTTCCTCCAGAAGACCTTTTCTTTGTCCATGTGATCAGCAAACTTGAGTCAAGTCTTAAGGTGCCACTTCTGGAGCCACTTTTCGGACTTGTTTAGGGCAGTGATATGCTTTTTCAGATGTGTGCTGAGTTCCTTCGACTTCCCTGCTCTAATGTTTGTGGCAGAAACTAATAGGTGTAATAAATAAATTGCCTCAGAGAAGTCAGCAGCTGTAGGAATCACTGATTGAGAAGGCCACGGCACTAAGACAATTTGACTGATTTGATTAACACAGCTTTCGATATCACCAAAACTGATAATTCAAGTTGCAGATGTATATTTGTGAACGGGCAAATTTTGTCATGTTTCCAGAACTAAAATTAATCCATGAAAGAACTAAAATGCATGACTGTTTAATGTGGCAAATACATGTTTGTTTCAATAATTCCATTGCAAAAAATTGAGAGTTACCAGAATCATTGAAAACCTAAGACTGCCATGATATATATGGTCTGAACAACTGTATACATTTATGGTAGGCAATAACTTTATTTGAAAAACAGAAGCATTTTCACATGAAATTTTGCACAAAGTTACTTTTATAATGTTGAATACATTTTTTTTAAATGTCCCGTTTGAAATCAATTGTTTTTCCCTGTTTGTTGATTGTCATTGACTCGAGCTGTTAGTGTTTTGATGACATTAGTGAGATTGTAAATGGATTCATATATTAATATCAACAACAATGACACATTTTTACTTAAAACACTCTAAACCTTAATGTTGGTCTGCATCAGGAACATTTGCTTTTTAAAGGCAAGCTATATAAGGCTTGCCTTCCTTCGCTGACTCACATAAACTCACAGAATAATATTAACCCTTCAACACATTTCCCTTTTTGTTTTCCATGTAGCAGTTTTGAGGGTTGTTATAATCATGTTATTCTTCACTGACAGACAGTATCAACCTGCTTCATTACATCTCCGCGATAACTCTAAAGGCCCAAGCTGAACAAAGTTTAAAATGCTAGACCCACTGCTGGGACATTGCTTGTTATGAGGTTAGCGATGATATGAATAGTTCCTTATTATGAGAGCAAAATTATTGAACCTTGTGAAAGAAGAAGGAATGTGTTACTTGTCAGAAATAGTCCCATACACCAACGCTCCAACCAGAATTCCTGCCATGGAGATGGACTGTGATGCCTCAATCAAACCGTTCTTGTCACAAACCACGTCAAACTGGAAACAGCAAAGATGGTAACAGGACAAGGGGAATGAATGGATTAAAGAAGTGGCAGCAGGATTTGGGAGGGAATTATGGGTCCAACACACAGGTCATACTGTGAAAATCCTTTCACTCATTGGATCTCACACTACAGGTCTGCAAGGAGCATATGAATTCACAAATGATCTTTTTCTTAGCTTACCTCGGTCACAAGGGTGGAATCTCCTGGCCCAGTCGCATAGTCCCATCCATTTATGCATTTTGTTGTGGTGTTAATCCCATACTTTTCAATGTCTTCTACAGTCAAATTCACAGGTGTGAACATTTCACAGCTTTCAAACCTTCCATCCTCGTTCACTGGGATGGTGAGATTCCTTTGATTCTCCTCTGTCAGGTTGGGTCCACGCTCCAAGATCCAGTCGGTGTTGCAGTGATGTGGGAAGCTCAGGCCGGTAAACACCTGACTCATCACATCAAAAGATGGAAACATGTTGAGGATGCATAATGCAAAAAGCAAACATTTCTGAAACAAACCAAACTCCCCGATTTCCTTCAGGATCTGTCCGAGGTTGCTCATGGCGATGTGTGGCCCAACTTGCAGAGACTCCAACTGATAGTGCAGCGTCAGTGAAGATATTTCGAAGAGATCATTACAAATTAACTGGTTAATTAATGTTTAACCAACAACAGATAGCTGATTTATTGTCTTTACCTTTATTTCACATTAAGAACAACAGGTGTCATCAACTTTGCAACATGAATAAAATTTGAGATAGCAAAAACAATAAAATGAAAACTAAGATATGAAGAAAATGGCAATAACATTATGAAAGAAGTCCTTTTGTACAATCAATGTGCTGATATGGGACACTTGCATATGTAATATTAAGATTAACATCTGAGTTTTAATATACTGCCAGCAGATAACTTAAAATGGTTTAAACCGAACTATAATCTAATTGTGAAGTGACATTCTTAGCAACATTGCTGTAGGCAATCACCAATCAGGGTAAGAATTAAGTAGTGATGTAAAAGAATGCTCAGACTTTTGCTTATGCCACAAATACTGTTTTTTGTTTTTGTTTGCTTGTTGTTGTTTGTTTGTTTGTTTGTTTGTTTGTTTGTTTGTTTGTTTGTTTGTTTGTTTTTGGGGGGGGCATCTACAAAATGAAATACAAAGTAGCATTGCATTAATATTTGAAGGAATGCTAACTTTTAACATGCTGCAGAGGCTTTTCATCTTTTCATATCCACTTTTGCTAAGCTAATCATGCTGTAATGTAACAAAAGTAACTAAGGTAGTTAAAAACAAATACAACAATCAACAATAATAATGAGCAGAGCAACTACAGTACAATACAGGATGCAAAGCAACATTTGATTTCTGGCTACATAACGGCTGAATTTCACAACAAGAACATTTCAATGGAGAAACATTAGTGCTCTCATGAAAAAGCTGCTACATGCACCATTATAGTTACCATGTAGCTGCTCATTTTTATTGTGGAAAAGAAGATTAACAAAGGAACTGTTTGTAGTTAGTTAGATTGAGCTACGACAGGTCAGAAAGCCTGCTTATTCTCATTTTCCACAACAATCTACAGCTGACTCATGGCAACTGAAATATATGCAGAACGTTCATATTATTAATTAAGATGACAGGAGAAAACAGGTTTATCATGAATATACAGTACACATACAGTCATGCACAAAAGTTTACATATACTTATAAAGACCATGCATAACATGGCAGTCTCAAGTTTCCACAATGACCAGAAATGTTTTTGGAGGAAAGAAGGCGAGGCCTTTAACCCCAAGAACACCCAGCCTACTGTCAAGCATGGTGGTGGCAGTATCATGCCCAAGGGCTTTGCTGCTTATGAAACTGATGTATAACACAAAGTAAATGGAATAACGAAGAAAGAAGAACACCACCACATTGTTCAGGAAAACCTAAAATCATCAGCCATTAGGATGGTCTTGGACACAGTTGGGTGTTCCAACAAGTCAGTGACCCCCAAACACACATCAAAGGTGGTAAAGAAATTGCTAGAATTAATGTTTTAGACTGACCTTCCCAACGTCTTGACTTAAACCTCATCAAGTCTGGACTGTGATGAAGACACACGTCACCAGGTAGTTGTTTGTCACCAAAGAGACAAACAACTACCAAAAGCACCTAGTTGCGCTGAAAGTGGCGGAGGGAAAGTTGAACCAACTATTAGAACTGCTGTATGTATATTTGTGACCCAACGGAGTTTGTCATATTTCTAGTTGACCTGTAATAAATCTATGAAAGGATCAAATACGTGATTGTTTTCTGTGAGAAAGATAAATGTGTTTCAACCATTCCATCGTAGAAAATTAGGAGTTATAGGAGTCACTGGAATCTCGTTGTTATGAAATACATGGTCTTTGCAAGTATATGTAGACATTTGTTCATGACTGTATAACTATATACATTTATACACACACACACACACACACACACACACACACGACTACCAATTGTCAAGCAGTACATAGCCGTTGTAAAAATAAAACTGATTTTTAACAGGTTATAAAAAACAAACATAAATCACATGTTCACCAGAATGTACATGTACATTCAGACAAGTAAAACAGCAATAAACATGGAGTCAGACATGTCCTCTTGGACCTGGTTGCACAATCAGATATGCAGATACATCTTTTTTGTAACTTGTGGCATAATTGGATGTACTAAGAATTTGATCTTCTGCAAATTACAAGTGAAATAAAATGACATCTTTCAAAAATGATGAATAAGGAAAGAGAACAAGTAAAGTCATCTGATTATGATTTCAGTTACAGTTCAAACTACAGTCGTTGCTCTTCAATTACGTTTTCAGCACAGTTACTGTCCCCCACTGGTCCACTCAAATGTTTTCTAAATTAAAAAACAGAAGAAGAAACACAGTTAATAGAAGTACTACATTTTGTAGCTACATATATTGATATGTTTTTTTGGATTGCAATACATATACTCAACTCACTTTAACTCAGTGTGATCCTGAAGTTCAACATTGAGGGTTTCAGGCAGCAGCAAACAGAATCCACCAGCAGCAATGGGGACGATGCCATATATCAGCATGGGAATGGTGTAATGATAAACCTCCAGCAGCCGGATCAATGGAGCAAGAATGCCGGCAACACGAGCGCACATGGAGTTTAGACCGATACCATTCTGCCTGCAAGAATTCACAATCAAGAACCACATGATGTGTTGGGTGGGTTTGATGGGTTTCGGTCATTCTTCACAGTAAAGACTGCAATTGCAGCTTATTTGGCATTACCTTAAAACAGTAGGGTACAATTCTGCTGCATAAACGTAGGCTGTGGTAAAAGAAGCAGTGGCAGAAAATTTCCCCACCACAGCGATGACTGTTACCACCACAGGAAGATCTGATTGGTAAAGAATGTTTCACACATAAAAGACAGACATAGCCGTTAGAAAATTGGAAAATTTCCCTTTCTATAACATTTTTCAAGCAACAATAACATGTTCAAGGTTTTCAAGATACCCCTTGGAACAGCAAGGACCACAAGGCAAGCAGCACCCCCAAAGAACAGGAAGCAGGCTTCACATATTCTCCTTCCAAAGTGTTGAATTAGAGTCAAACCACAAATATTTGCAGGAAATTCAACAAGAGCAAAGATGAACTGCGTGAGGTAGATATTCAAGCCAAAACCGCCAACATTCAGGCTCAGTCCATAGAACAGAAGACTTGCTGCAAACCTAAAATCAGAGGAGAAACCTTTAGTTTCACTACTTCCTAAAAACATTATTATATTAAAGACAATGACATGAACATCATCTCACCAGTTGAAGCCCATTATTAGAGTATATTTTCTCAGATATGGTATTTTGAAGATGTCAAACATGTTTCTCTTTTCAGGTGTACTCTCCATATTTATCTGAACAAGTAAAAAGCAACTTTTAGAAAATGGTCATACAATGAAGAGGTTTAATATATATGGAGTGAACCAAAGTGTGTTGGATGCTGATCACCTTGTCCAGCAAATCTTCTGGTAGTTTCCTCCCATTGATCCTGGCTGCTCGCTGGAGCTCCTTTCGTGCCTCCTCCTTCCTACCATGTGTCAAGAGCAACCGAGCTGACTCTGGAAGAAACCTGTTGAATCACAATTTCCAAATAAAGAATGATGCAGTAGTTACAATCACAGATTCTTTGGCAATACTTTGGCATTTAGTTGTTAAAGAACATCTGAAAAGGTCATGGAATTAAAGGGTTCTTACCAGCAATGGGCTACAAAGACAATGACAAGAGGGCTGAACAGCACCAGCTGCAGGATTCTCCAGTTGTGGATCAAATAGGCAATGCCAGACAATGATATCAGTCCAATACTAAAGAAAGTTAGGATGGCCACTGTGCAAAGTGCAGACTTTGAAGGATCCGTCCATTCCAGTGCTGTAAAACAGAAGAGAATTACTCATACAAAACAGAAACAGAAAACCAGGACATTAGACAGGAGTATGCCGTACAACAGCACTTCCTGGCAGCAACCAAATGGTGGATGTTGCAGTTGTATGGCATATGTCTAAGTCCATGGGACTCCTTTGATTTGTATTTCTTCTATGTTCCAAGCATATTTATTTATGTGGCCTTACCCAGCACTGATAAGTTCATTGTCATGGCAACACTTGAAGTCCCACAGAAAAACTTGAGAACCATATAAACATAGATGTTTGGTGAGAAAGCAATGCCCACACCAAACACCAACAGGAGGAAAACTGCAAGCAGGATGGCAAATCGTCGGCCAAACCTATTCAGAGGGGACAATAGAATAACAAATATGTATTATTCTTTTGAGGGACACAATATACAGCTATGAACAAAGTTTACATACACTTTCACAACCACATATATCATGGCAGTCCAGAAATTCCAATGAAACTTTCACCTACTATTTATCTTTGATGAATTTACTGAAGCATATGTATTTTAATTAATTATTTTTTTTACAAAAACAATCATACATTTTGGTTTATGGGGTTTATGTCCAGACTTTGGGGAGGCCAATCTAAAACCTTCATTCTACTTTGACTTAATAACTTCTTTAACACTTCTGGTGTGTGTTTGCCTTCAGGACCCAACCTTGTGGTTGACGATTTTCCTGAAGAATGTGAAAGTAATCCTCCTTCTTCATTATTGCCTTTCCTTGGTGTAAAACGCCAATTCCACTGGTAGTAAAACAGCTGCAGAGCATGATACTGCCACCACCATGCTTGATGGTAGGTTTGGTGTCAAAGGTGTTAAAGGGCTCACTTTCTCTCCTCCAAACATATTTCTGGTCATTGTGGCTAAAGGTATGGTAGGCAGTAACTTATTTGAAAGACGCATTGCCATGCAAGGCTTGCCTTCTGGTTGACTGAACTGATAAACTCAAAGAAAAATATTAACCCTTTAACATACACTTCTCTCTTTTTGTTTCTAGCAGTTTTGAGGGTTGTTATATTCTGCATCATTACATCTCCATGATAATTCTAAAGAGACAAGCTGGAAAAAAAGGTGTCATGAGTTTGAAATGCCAGACCCAATGCTGGGATACTACTTTTGTGAGGTTGGTGATGATATGAATAGTTCTTTAATATGAAAGAAAATCCTACAACCTTGTGACAGACAAAATGATGTATTTACCTGTCAGAAATAGTCCCATACACCAACGCTCCAAACAGAATTCCTGCCATGGAGATGGACTGTGATGCCTCAATCAAACCGTTCTTGTCACAAACCAC